GCCGACGTCTTTGCTTGAACAATCTGGATCGTGAATCGTGAATCTTGAATCACCGCGATGAACAGCCCAGCTGCTGACTTGACGGCCACGAGACTCCTCTCACGCGGACGATGCTAATCGATCGATCGTATTCGCGTCACGAGTGAGCGTCTTCGATCGAGCGTTCCATCTGCAGCAGCCATCAAGTACACTCAAGGCTCTACAGCATTTATGCAGCATCCACACAGATCCATCATCACGCTGCGAAAAAGTGAAACAGCGTTCGTCTCATCGCCGCTGTACCTTCCGCCAGGCAGAACGTCAAACGACGGCAGTTGTTGTGCGAGCGACCGACGGAGGCCAGGGCGCCCCCATCCAATCCGCGGTACGCGTAGGGCTCCGCTCCAGAGAAGCGCAGTCACAGTCATAGTCATAGTCACAGTCACAACAGTCACGGTCACAGTCACAGTCACAGTCACAGTCACAGTCACCGCACCGCTCGCACCGCTCTCGTGACGGCTAGAAGTCTTTGCAAATTCGTGCCGCCAGGACTGGCGGTCCGAGCCGATATACCGCCAGGGCGGATCCTATTCTGCTCCTTCATTCCGGATCACCGCGTCTCGCTCTCACAAAAGACGCCTCACCAGGCTCCTCGCACGAGCGCGAGGAGATCAATCCCCCCATCACCTGCTCGACTCCAATCACGAGCGTCCTGCCTCTAGATCCGACGCCAAGCTCTGCTGGCCGGATCCTCGTCTCGCAGCCTCCACCACCTGCCCATCTTTCACTGGCAAGCCTTGCTTTCTCTTCTGCCTCTTGCCTCCTCATCATCTCGGCGTGCGCGCAAAGCAACGCGTTGCCGAACCGCGCATGTCGTCTCACCACCAGCATTTGCCTGCTGGCGGCATATCTGCCTCTTCGGTTTCGGGATGGCCATCAGCTCATGCAGGGGTCGAAAGCTCTCATCAGCAATCCAATACATCTCGCGTCGATGTGGGCTCGAGCGATGCTGGCAGCAACTTGGCCGCATGGGAGAGACCTCGAGTTCGAGCTGAAGGGCCTGGAGGGCCAGAAGTCAAGCAGGGGGCTAGAATAGCGTGAGTGGCCAGGCTTTGCGCGCATACATGGCCAGTCAGCCGTATCGGTGCTCATCCGGTAGACCCCCC